TTTCTGAAGAGGGAGACTACCGGCTTTGGGGTTTGATGTATGAATCTCCAAATTTTAAAAATGTGTATGTAGGTGGGGTGACATCCTCGTGGGAGGATCCCACAGACAGCTGGAAATCGCTGGGGGTGGAGCTGGGGGCAGGGTTGTATGTGTACTGAGGAGTCATCTGTGGACGGGGGCAGGCATCTGAAATGTAAGAAAAGACAAGGTCTGCTAGAAGAGAGGTGTTGGAGTCAAACACGAGAGGGGATGGACTGAGCGTTTTGGGAGTCCCATGGCTAATGGCAGTGGGGCCGGGGAGAAGCAGGGAGCTGCAGGGCCCACCTACATGCACAGATGGTCCCAGGCCCACGTGGCCACTCTGGGCATAGATGCCTCCTGGTGCCAGCTGAGATAATCCCCTTCACTTCTGTTCTGGAAACATACTCAGTTTTCAAGGCATGACTCAAATTTCCACAGCCCCTCTTAGAATTTACACTTGTTCAACTCTAATGCCCATATGGTTGGCATTGCATTTGGCACATAATAGGTGCTAAATGAGTATATGTGGAGCTGAATTGAACAATTAAGGAGGGAAAGTTATATGGAAATGGTAATTAATTATTTTTTTCTGAGCCATACCTTCTTCATTTGTGAGATGAATAATTACTGCTAGGGGTAAAGAAGATATGTAGGTTAGGCGTTTAGTACAGAGCCTGGAGCATGGTTGTTCATTAACTGGTTAATTATTATTACTGGCAGCAACCATGGATGGAACATAAGAGGAGCTTGGGGGAAAGATTTGGGGAAAGAAGGAATGTCCGACAGTTCCAAGGCACACAGTCCGCCTCTCCTCTTTCTCTCTCTCTTTCACACACATGCACACCCATGGTGAGAAATGTTCAGCAAATATAAAACTTCTCTGCTGGTATCTGCTGGCTTCTCCCAACCCTGACCTAATACAAGGAAGAGATGCTTAGTAATCTCAATCTGGTCCTACAGTGGGTAACTGAAATGATCTTCATAATTGGTTGCCTGCTTTTAACATCAAAATTTTTTTGGAGACTTGATTCTAGCTAGAAAATAGGACCTCTTGTAATGTTTTGGTTTCTGTTGGACTTTCTCAGCAAAAATGTGTTTCTACCCCACAGTTTGGCAGGTGCTTTGGGAGGGAAATATGGTACCCAAGGGTCCTGGAATCAGCACGCATCACATTTGTCCAGCTTCTCACAGACAGAATCACCACTCCCTGACACAAAACCCTCTCTGTGGTAAAAACAAAGCCACTGTGTGGCAGGCCTTCCCAACAGTGAATTCTCTCTCCTCCCGGAGACCTGAGGAGGGATGAAGAGACAGAACAAAGACCCGGCATCTGGAGCACAATTGTGTGAAAAGCACCCAGGATTTTCGGTGACTGGACGGCTCTCTTTTATGACAGCATCTCCCTCCTGGTCAGCGACTTTCTTCTCACCTTTGGGCCTGCGTGTATGTCCAGGGGCCTTGAGTGGAGCCACTAGAATGAGGACTCCGGGAACCAAGCCTCTTATCCGGAGCTGTGACCCAGCTCCCACAGGTCTCCTCTGGAGGCCAGGCCTATGGGGACCCCTCTTCTGCCCTCCTGGTTCAGTCTTCCCATCACACTGCGAGGCCCAACCTCTCTGCTCTGCTCCCCGCCCCCTCCCCCCTCCCCCACCCACCAACCCACCGCTTTGCAGGGCATAAGGGACCTTTTCTATTTGCGGAGCCTAAAGAAGCCCGTTGCCAAGGTGACAGGAGCGGGAACAGCGGGGAGCTTGCCATGGGGGGAGGGGCTTTGCCCCCAAACAGCTGTCAGTGGGAGCAGTCCCAGCTGGGACTGCAGCATTTGCCTGCTGGGGAGGGAATGGCCCCCAGAGAACACATTCCTCTCTGATCTCCCCCACCCCCGACTGCCCCCCATCACAAGTCTCCACTGGTTACTTTCCCTGAGGGCAACCAGCCAGCCAGCTCAAAAAATGCTTCAATAACAAACAAAAACCTGCCACTCCGCTCCCCAGTCCCTCTCTCTCTCTCTCTCTCTCTCTCTCTCACTCACACATGCACAGGCACACACATACATACACACACGCATGCACACACACTCTGATCCCCGCCGCTCATTCACAGTGTGTTGGCTGGGCTGGAGGCCAGAAGTTACCTCCTGCCTGGGGAACAGTGGTGCGCCCAGGGCAGGTGCTGCTCCTGGCCACCCACCCCCCCACCCCCATCAGGTCGGGAGGATTATTTCAGACTTTTTTTTTTTTGTTCTAGAGGCCCTGAAAGGATCTGTTAGCATCTTAAGCCTCCCCGCTGCCTTCCATTCGGGCTGTTGAGGGTGGGGAGTGGAACCACGGAGAGGAAGGGGTGGGAGGGGAAGGGAAGAACAGGAGGGGACAGTGGGAGGCAGGAACAATGCAAAGCCTACTGATTCCTGTTACTGGGGAGAGAGTCTGTGGTCTGCAACTCACAGCTGCTCCACAGAGAGTTCTGGGGAACCACTGGTGTCCGTACTGCCTATAGCCACATACTGTTAGTCTCAGGCCACAGCTGGGGCCCTGGGCCTCGGTCTGTAACTCACTGGCCTTTGCTTTTATCAGGCTCAAGAGAAGAGAGCCCTCTGCTAGACTCTGTAAAACCCAGAACAATCTGAGAACCACGAGGCTTTTTGAACTTCGGGTAAGGAATAAGAAAGGCCTAGGAAGCCCCAAAAGAGCTGAAAGAGGCAAACATTGCTTGATGATTAAGAGCAAACTGTCTGACTCAGCCAGACGTGGAGTCGGTTTCCAGTTCTGCCACGTAATACTGATGTGACCTTGAGTGATATTTATAGTAAGTTCTTGGGTAACCACTCTGAACTTCGGTTTTCTCATCTGTAAAATGCATGAAAATATCTACAGGGGTTCTTCTGAAAGGCAGAAGAAGTGGGGTACATAAAAAAGCCCAGCGTATTGTCTAATACACATCAGAGGTTTTTATCAGTGCTGGTCCCCTTTGTATCCAGTTTTCTTGAGGCCCCAGGGTTGCCTAGGAGCCTTAGGAGGAAACCTAAGAACTAGTCTTTCCACTGAAGGGTCCTTAAAATCTGGGGGTGGGTGCTGGCTTAGATCTAGGCAGGGGTAACATTTTGACCTGGGTAGAAACAGGGTTCTCAAGAAGTCTTGAAGTGCAGATGTTGCTCTATGGTTTGTAGGTTGCATGAGGAGGTAGAAGAAATGTTAATTTGGGGTCCTTGCTTTAGTCTCAGCTGATATCAGCTCATTTCAAGACACCCCACCTCCCCCCACCCAGACTTTACCCTCTGAGCCTCAGTTTCTTTCTCCATAAAAGGAAGAGGCCGGACTAGTCTCTGGAGAAAGCAATGCCAGCCTGGAAGAAAGGCCCGGTTCGGCTTCTGCAGAGAGCTGCCTGCCTCAGCTCAGAGGGTCCGCTGCAGGCAGAGACCGCCTCTGTCCTTGAAGCCTCCAGAGGGTGAAGAAAGGACTTGAATTCAGACTCTTCATGGTTCACATCACAAGGCTCTACTTATGCCTCTGTCGTCTGTCTAGAATATCTTCCCCTCCTTTGTTGGGGAAACGACTCCTGCTTCAATACCCAGGGCAATTTCCTTGGAGGGACAGCATCTCTGATCCGTCCTGCCTGGCACAGAGGTGTCCATCTGGGCCACCCCCCCCCCCCATACCTCGTACTTACTCCTACAATGGCAATTGTGAAACCAGATGGATTTGCTTAAAAATCTATCTCCCTCCTTTTGATTGCACCCTTAGGTGATAAATCACATTTTGATCATTGTGGTTAATCTAGTAACAAGCATAAAGTAGGCTCTCAAGAAAAATAAAAACGCAGGTTAGACTGGATTGTAAAATGGTCTGGGTGAGGACAGAGGGGGAGTGGTTATTTCAGGGATGTGACCAGGGTGACTCTATCTTTAATGCAAGGCCACATGGTCCATCACTACATTTCTGTGCTATAAGAGCTTGGTCTTCTTCCTGAGACTGATTAGTCTGGCTTTCAGGGCTGTTGGCAGATTTCCTCATTAAAGACTGCCTACAGTAGGCAGCGCTGGGAGAATTTTAGCAGCAGGGAGAGTCTAGCCCCAGGGAATACTGATTCATCCTGTTCACATAATTTGCCTCATAAGTAATCTGCTGGATTATTACTTTTTCAATCTGCAAGATTTATTTTTGAGTGCCACTCTTACTGGCAAACCTTTCTTGGCTCTTTTCCCCCAGGCTAGATGGTACCTCTGTGATCCTCCAGGGCTCAGAACTCACATCTACGACAGGCTGTATTCATCTGTCTCTCCAGACCATGCCCACCTGGGAGGCAGGGCCCATGTCTTATTTATCTCGGCACCCCCGGAACTGGCAACATAACCGACACATATTAATCAACAAATGTCTGTTGAGTGATGAAAAAATAAGCTTCTCACTTCCTCATCTCCCTGTGTGGTTCTTACATGCCTCTGGCTGGCCCCTCTCCTTTTTTTGCTGACTCTTAGAGAATTTCAAAATAGTGTAACTGCCTATCCTCCACCGCCTAGGTGAAGAGCTATGATTGGGTACCCTGAGAATCATGGTACCCATTGTGAAGGTCTTGTTTGGGATTGCCCTGGCAGTCCAGTGGTTAAAACTCTGTGCTCCCACTACAGGGGACACGGGTTCGATCCCCTATTAGGGAACTAAGATCCCACATGACACACAGTGTGGTCAAATAAAAGAAAATTAAATGATGGAGCATTTATGTGAACAAGGTTCTCCTCTTAAAAAAGAGAAAAAGAAGGTCCCATTTATTTCCACTAACATGGCTTCCTTCTTTAAAGCTGGACAAGAAGCATGAAGGAGAATCTGGAGCTGAAGAACTTCTCAAGACTGCAGAACGGGAAAGAGAGACCCACGGCTGACATCTTATCTTGCCCACAGGAAATAGGAGAGTGTGAAAGTTTCCCCCGACCCATCGTCCCTCTGAGTTTTCTGGGATAGGATCCTTCCTCCTGGAGCCCTTACCTGGTGCAATGAGCGGGTGGGCAGCCACGGCGGGCACCATCCGGCTGAGCCCAGCCCGGCCCTCCAAGCTCCCGGGCACACTGCCGTGGCTGTCTCCTCTCTTGGATGGCTCTGTCACACTGTCAGTTGTGCCAGACTTGGCACCTGCAGGGGAACCCTGAGCGGTGTTTCTGCCCTGTGATGGGGTAGGCAGAGGCTGGCTACCACCTGGCGTGGGCTTCAGGGCCAAGCTGGTCAGGACAGGCTGGGTGGGGGTAGGGCCCGAGGCTGCTGCAGCTGGTGTCTGCTGTGATCGGAGGGTCAAGTTCTGTACCTGGAAAAGAGGGGTCTGTAGGAGTCCAGAGAATGTGGGTGTGAGCAATGCCAACACACAGTTCAGACATGGAAGGAGTTAGGGATGGATCCAGGAATGCTGAACATGAGAGTGAGTTGTTAAATCAGAAAGAAAGCAAGAGAGACAAGAGACAAGGGGCTCAAGGAGAAACCAGGAGCAGAGTTTCTAAAGGGGACAGACAGAGTGCTGGTCATTGGATTCATCAGAAACCAAATTCTGAGCAGGGATGTCTGCCTTGGCTGGGGCAGGCTGGGGCAGGCTGGGGCAGGCTGGGGCAGTGAGGCCAGGGCTGCTTCTCCCTTCTGTTACCTCCCCTCCTCCCCCAATCTATCCGGATGGGCTGCGTACCACTTAGAAAGAATCATGGCAGGGCATGGGGCTTCCCACACTGGGAAAGGCCAGGGCAAAAGTGAAAGTGAATTGACCAGCAAGGTCTCCGAGGTGAAGGACTATCCTGCCCTGAGGATCGGGTTTACACATCAGGACGGGCGGGCTGATTCAACTTGGTCCCTGGCACCCTCTGCTGGACACACAGAGGTTATGCCAGTCTCGCGTCTGATCCCCATCCCTTAGATGGGGCTGCTTGCTCCCCACCACCCAAAGAATCTTTACAGCCACAGCTGTGTCTGTGTGCTCCCAGCAGAAGGAAGGGACCTAGGACTCATCCTTGCCCCCTCTTCCACGCCATTTTTCCTGATTCCTAGAGCTGCTAGCATGTGTAATCAGAGTAGAATTTTCCTCTTAAATAGCAAGGACAGAGCTCATCCTGGGGAGGTGTAAGGTAGTGAGGGCCACTGTTACTGGCGATCACACGTGCTCCCGCCCCTTGGCTGGGGCCCGAAGAGTCAGGAGCGGCCGAGGCCTTCTCAGCGAGGAGTCAAGGAGCAAGTGTAGGGCTAATGAGACACCGTCTCCCACCTGCGTTCCTGGAGCGCCCCGAGCTCCTCCAGGGCTGCGGCCCAGACCCAGCATCAGTGCCCCCTCGGCGGGGGTCCCCACCCTCCCTGCCCACCCACAAGCATGGAATCCTCACCTGGGCGGGGGTGGGGGGCCGGGCGGGGGAGCCAGTGCCGAGCTCAGGCTGCACGGTAGCGACGGTGGCCGTGGGCGTGAAGATGAGCTGAGGGGACAAAGGAACAGTGCCGCCTAGGCTCCTAGCTACCTGCACCAGGTTACCTGGCTGGGCCTGGAATCACAGGAAACGAGGCGCCTTTTACCTGCCCAATGTGGGCTCAGCCACAGGACACAACAGCTCAGCCAGGGAGCAGACGGGGTGGGGGGGAAGAGGGGGAGGTGGGAGAGGGAAAGAGTCCAGGGGTGTCTCCTGAAAATCTCAGGAGGCCCCTCAAGTCCTGATCCAGGCCGGGCAGGGAAGGGCCACGGCTAGGGGGCCGTCCTGGGGCTGCACCAAGTCAGGTGTACTTCAGAGGCCTCTGCTAAGAGCTCACCCCAGAGGAGGGACCAATAAGGATGGCTGGACACCCTCAAGTCCCTCTCTGCAGCATCCCGGGGAGCAGGGCCCCTGGGCTGAGACAGATGCCCTGGAACCATGTTCTAAATCTCACCTGCAAGTTATGTGGCAGCCTGGATGGGAGGGGAGTTTGGGGGAGAATGGATACATGTGTATGTATGGCTGAGTCCCTTCGCTGTTCACCTGAAACCATCACAACATTGTCTGTTAATCAGCTATACCCCAATACAAGATAAAAAATTTTAAAAAAATCTAACTTGCTCTGGACTCTAGGTATGGGTCAGAACAGGACTTCCTGCCAGAAGGGATCAGATTAGATTCTTTTGGCCATTTTTCAGTCAAATTTAGACTGGGCTCTGTGTGTGTGTGTGTGTGTACATGCATGAGCAGAGACAATAGTGCCAGAGGAACCAAGAGGAACCAAGCTGTACTTGTGTCTACATCTCCTTGAATGGCACACAGGGACTGAGGGTCTGTGTGTGACACTCCCACCCCTGTGAGTCCAGCTCTGGACATGGATATGACAGCATACCTACTCCTCTGAGCAAGGGCACCCCACTTTGGGGAGGGAGGTGGCCAGGATCCAGGGCCCCAGAGAAGGGATGGGGTAAACTGAAGACAGAACAGGTTTGGGTGGTGTCACGTGGGCTGCCTGGCTCCCTGGAGAAGTGGAAGTCTGATCCCCATGGGTGTCTCAGAGGCTATTCCCCAGGAATGGAGCTGCACCTCAGTGAGTTCAGAGTCAAGAACGGAAGTGCTGGAGCAGAACCAGAAAAGCTCCCCGTGTCAAGCTCTGGCCACAAAAACTAGGCGAGGGCTGGGGCCATATAGCCTTCAGGATAGTATATCAAGGAGCTGGAGGGAGCACAATTCAGAGCAGGGCCGGGAGACTAGACTCACAGTGGGCTGAGCCCAATCTAGACCTAGACCTGCCTGCTTCCTTGGGTGAACAAATACTGCTGAAATACTGCTGCTTTCTTGGTAAAGTCTGCTTAATTTTAGGAACCCCTCAGCTTCTTATGGGCCTCTGCACCTCTTAGGGACAGGTATCAAGGCGGGACTCTAGGTATGTTTGTGGAGGGCTGATACCGTCCTGAGTACATTCGGCCCAAGCAAGCCCACCTGTTGAATGTTTGACCGGGTGGCCCTGATGGGAATGCAGGCCTGGCTGGGAATGCAGTGGTGACAATACAGGTCCTGGAGCTGGCGGCCGCCTTCACCACCTGGGCTGGAATGCACTTTTGGCCCTGAACTAGTGGTGGCCAATCCCTGCAGGACAGTCCCAGTGGACTACTCAGATGTTTGTGCACTTGCTTGTCTTACGTGTCTGAGTGGACAGACCACCTGGGTTCCCTACTGTAACGAATTTTAGGGAGTGGTTTCTGATAAGAGGAGGATAATTCTGTTTCACTCTCAGAGGGAAAGGAAAGGAGGCATCATGGGTAACTTAATTTTGGCCTAGAACCCTACCTTTCTTTGAGGCATGGAGCTGATATCAAAGCTCCCCTCAGCCTTCCAGGCCACCTTCTTTATGCCACCCCTGCTTTCCTGTCAACTGTCCGCCTGGTGCTTCTTCCCCACCCTTCTCTAATTCCCACCCTTCTTTAATCGTCCAACTCCCAACTTCTCTGCCTCTGTCCTCCTGGCTTAACTGAGCCATGGCCCAGGCTGGGGACTCACCATCTGTGCCCGGAGATACATCTGTGCTTGGCTTGCGGTCAGGGCTGGAGAAGATGTGTTGCCCAGAAGCACGGCCTGCTGGGTGATGCCTGAGGCAGCCGCCGAGTTGACGCTCTGAGCCCGGTTGATGAGCTGGGCTGCTGCTGGGGAGGCTGCCAGGTTGATCTGGGGAGAGAGATGCATGCAGTAGGAAACAGGTGCTTCTGTGGCTTAACTCCGCACCCCTTCATCCACTTCTTTCTCTCCACCTCCTCTGTTCCTTCGTGGACTCAGCCTTTTTTAGGAGCAACTCTGATCCTTGGGTCCTAGATCTCCCCAGCACTGCTGCATCTCTGGCCTGTGTGCAGCGCTGTCGGGAGGACCCCATGGGAAGAGGGCTGAGCCATGAACCAGGAGCCCTAACATTGTAAAGATGACAGGGAGTTACTAACCGAAGTTAGAAAGTGGCACATATCTTTTTTTTTCCTGGCAAGAGTAACGGATTCCAGCCATGATTCTACATGACTGAGGATTTACCACCATTGCATGTGGAGGCTCATAGAGCATTTTGGGCAAAGTGGAAGGAAGTGGCCTGGAGGATGGAAAGAAGGTCCTGGAAGGAGCCTGCTGCTCCCCACCCTACTCACCGAGGATGACTGGGCAGGGGCCTGTGCAGACACACTGCTGCCTGGAGTGCTCCCTTGTCTGTTGGCCACCAGGCTTGCCTGGGAAAGAAGAATCCTTGTCACTGAGGCCCAGATCTCCTCCAGCCATTCCCTCAGCCCCCACCCACTATGGGATGCACTGCAGGGCAGTGATGAGGAGTCATGTCCTTATTCTGGCTCATCTACGGGCCCTCAAGCAAGTGCCTCGGCTTCCTCTTTTATACAGTGGGGACTGCTTGCAGGATTGCCGAAAGGCTTACACAAGGCCAAGCATTTACACAGAAGCACTCCAGCTGTCAGCTAGGACCATCACCCATGTTTCCAGCTTTCTTCAGCTCCTCACCCTGCCTCCCTCTATTATACCCGGCTCAAGGCTCCCACGTGGCGAGCTGGGCACAGACTGTCTGGAATGTCCAGCCTGTGCTCTCCCCTTGGCCAGCTTCCTCTCATCCTTCAGTTCCTTCAGCAGACATTCATTCATTCATTCAATGTTCCTCCAGCAGAATTCATTCACTCATTCATTCACTGTTTCTCCAGCAGACATTCATTCATTCATTCATTCATTCATTGTTCCTCCAGCAGACATTCATTCATTCATTCATTGTTCCTCTAGCAGACAGGCCCCCAACCACCCCTGGACTAAGGTGGGCCTCCTTGTTACTCTTCTCTTTGGGAGAGCTAGTCAGCACTCTGATATTTAGCTACTTTGCTTTCTTATCTATTTGGGTTTCTGTCTACTTGCTGTCTCCCCACCACAAGCTCCAGGAGGACAGGGTCCATGGTGCACCCAGGGCTGACATGAACTCTGACATACAGTAGATGCATAAATATTCTGTTGACTGGATGACTGAGCTCTTCTCAGCCACTGAGGGCAGATGGGTGGGCTGAACGGGCGATGGCCTTCTCCTGTGGATGCCTTCTCGAACCCTCAGTCCCCTTCCTGCAGTGCGGTATTGTGGTGAGGCAGGCAGCTGGCGGTCCTTCCTTGAGCAAGGTCAGCTCCCCTCAAGAGCTCTGTGGCCCCCGGGGGAGGTCTGAGCCTCCCAGAGCCTCTCTCCTCATCTGCTGAAGGATGCAGATGACAGTGGTGCCTACTTCACAGGGGTTCCATGAGGATGCAGTTAGAGAATGTGTGGGAGGGGCGGGGCACCTGCCTCCTCCCCCGCTTCCTTTGGCGGCATCCTCGGTCTCACCTGCTGCACGGCCGCCAGGCTCTGGAGCTGGGCGCTGCTGAGGTGCTGCTGCTGCAAGGCCGCCGTCTGCAGCATGAGGTGCTGCTGCTGGGCTGCATACATCTGCTGCAGGTACTGGGCTGCCGTGCTGGGCTGCCGATGCAGGGCCTGCTGGATCACCTGCGGAGGGTGCAGCGTGGGAGGGAAGAGCCCCTTCTGCGGCCAGGCCTGCTCCAACCCCTCCCCCCGAATGACCAGGTCTGTGATCCCCACTCGCCAGGGAGCGGGGGAGACAGCTGTTTGCACAGCTCCACACGTTCTCGCCTGATCTATCTCCATCTCTCTTCAGGGTACACACTCCCTGCTCCCTGTTCTTTCCAGATACCAGTGGCACATGCCTCTCTGACAACCCTCAGGTCAGGAGAGAGGAGACCCGTCCCACCGGGTCCTATGGCAGGCTTGTTAGGTACCCCTCCCCACCATTCTGCAGCCTCAGATGAGGGTAACAGGACCACAGGGGTGATGATGACAGAGGGAACTGAAGCTCAAAAAGGCAGAAAGGGGGAAAGGGATGGGAAGAAAGAGAGACAAGTTGGAAGTGGGGGCCTATTCCAGCCAGCCAAACTAAAACCTGTGCAAGGGCAACACCCTCCTGGCAGGGTCTGCCCCCAGCTGCTGAGAGCTCCTACTGGTCCCTCAGGAGACTGTCTCTCTGGCCTTGGGGAGCAAGGAATGCTACAGCCACAGAAATGCTACAGGTACAAGGATGCTGCTGCAGCTGTAGGATGCTGCGTTCCTCTTTTACTTTCTCCCTCCTTCTCTCCATTGCTCCCTCTCTCGAGCCACCATCTCCTACTAGTCTTACTGCTATTCCCTCTTTTTGGATGGGACCAGTTGAGCCACACTCTCTGGGAAACAACAAACGGCTGCTCTTTGATCCCCTCCCACTCTACCATTCCTCAAAGCCTCTCCTCCACCCTCAGGGACAAGGAAAAGTGAACACCTGTCCTCCAGCCCTGAGACCCTCTATCTTCTTCTCTATTCTCCTCCTTTCTTCTTACCTGGTCACTCTCCTGCCATCTTTCCAGGGTGGGGAGTGCCCTACTTGAGTCCTGGTCAGGCTGTGGCCCACTTCCCACCCATATTCTGCTGAATCCCTTGGCTATAGGGCTGCTCCTGCCCTGGGTTCTGCCCCTTGGCAATGAGCCTCCAGTTTAGCTCTCTTTGGCTCAAAGTGATTTCCAGGGTCTGGTGGCTCTTGGACAAAATCACCTTGGGGCTCAGATTGGGGATTTTATAAAAAACAGGCTGATATCACAGATTCTCCATGGGCTCTGGGGTCTCCCCAGATACCCCTTCCGCATATCATCTCTTCCATACGCTTCCTTCAGTGCACTTTCCCCTCTGAGGTTCCTGCTTTACATGCACTCAGTTCTTCTTATTCCTTGTTCTCCCCGTAATTCTTTCTCCTTATTCCTTTTATCTAGCCTTTTTATCTTCCTTAGACTCCTAAAAGCACCTCCCAGCATCCAGATAGCAGTCGTAGAGACAGACTCTTCCTCCCTGGAGGATGTGAACGAATGGAAGTAGGAGGCACCCCACTGGTTCTGCTTGGGTGCGGAACACAACTTCGGGTCACTCCACTTGCCAGAGCAGAAACCGCCATCCCATTTGCCTAGAATTGTGGTGAGAGGCAGGAGAGGTGGGAGGGCACCTCCTAATGTCAGCAGCTAGAAACTGGCGCTAAAATACTCATGTGCAAAGGGCCCAGAGGAGGAGGCTCTGGAGGAGGCGGCAAGGATAGAAGCGTGGTGCTATTAAGTGTGAGGCAGAGATAGCTAGGAGAGGAAAGATTCCGACGTATCTGATGGGGTCTGCTCTAGCTAGACTTCTCCGGCTCTCCCACCATCTGCTACGGCTTCCTCTCCATCCCTGAATCTGGGCCTAGGGCCAAAGCAGGCTAAGGACACTCAGCTGGGACACTCAAACTGCAACAGCGAAGCTATCAGAAAACACATCTCTGCTGCGGTCTTTCTTTTCTGCCTAATTTATCCAGGAACTTCAAACAGACATTGTAGGGAATAAGAACGCAGGTTTGGGGTCGGGGGGCAGGTGAGAATCAGGTTCAGCATTTTTGTCTTTACCTGCATGACCCTAGATAAGACACTGCTTTCTCTGAGCCTCAGTTTTCTCAACTATAGAATTGTGCCTAATAAGAACCCTCCTCCCAGCTGGAGGAAAAGATAAATAGGCAAAATGGTTTGGACAGCATGGGGTGCGTGGCAGATGGCAGGCAATGTGTGGTCATGACTGCATTTTGGAAGAGTGTGTAGTCACCCAGAAGGCCTCCCGGATGACATTTTGCAAACCACTGCTTTAGGAAAGAAGGCAGAAGGCTGCAAAGACAAAGGGTTGTTTGGGGGTCCTTTTTGGTCCTCTGTGTATTAGAGAATTCGATTTGTCACGGGGCAATGGTCACTTAGATAGTGGGTCTAGGTTGCAGCTGAGCTGATCCTGATCATTTTTTTCTGTTTGCGAGTTTCACTTGTCTGCCCTTAATTTCATGTGCATCTCCTTCCCAAACGGCCCTGTGGGGTCTGAGTCACCAGGTAAGAAAGGAATTTTCCGGCTCTAAGCATTTCCACTCTCCCCAGACCTCCTCAAGGGAACCCATCTCGCATCACTGCTTCTCCAATGATGCACAGACATTTGCCACTAACATACGCCCTTGTATGGCACCCTGGCTCACTCTTGACTTGGCACCCTGGCTGTCTGACCGGACCACGCCAACATGTCCTCCTGGTTAATGAGTCGTCAGGTGGCATCTTACCTGCACAGTCTGCCGGTCAGGAATGCCGCTGTACACAGAAATCTGGGGCCCCACAGGCCGGGCACCGCCACCACTGCCGCTACTGCTGCTGCTACTGACGCCGCTGGCACTGCTGGTGCTGCTGGATGTATGGGGGACAGGCAGCTCGTTCTCCATGGCCTACGGGATGGCACAGTCAGGGTGCTCAGGTAGTGGATGAGCAGCCAGGTGCTGGGAGGAAAGAGACAGAAGGGAAATGCTTAACAAACTAGAGAATGCACAAGTAGGTATCTGTCTCCCCCAGCCTTTGGTGGGACCACTTCTGAACCAAGGTCTTGAGCCACCCCTGCCATCAGGACAGGGCTCGTGAGGCAAGATGTGAAATCAGGTCAGCCTGAATCTAAACCTTATGCCTGGGGGGGGGGGGCGGAGTGAAAAACAGCCATGGAGGATCCCCTACGATGGGCTTCCTAGCAGTGATTTTAGGGAGCATCCTTTGCACCAGCAACCTTTTCATCAGTGGGGTGGAGAAACCGAACATCAGAGAAATTATCACTTGTCTGTGTTTAAACAGGCAGTTCTTAAAAGAAATGGGATCAAAAAATCTAGAGAGAACAGAAGGAGAGAAAGAGGCAATAAAATAAACTGTAGTATTTGTCTTGTTTGCCAAGACAGAAGAGCTTCGAGTATGTTTGGAGTCTGTTTCCTTCCCAAAGTACTCAGCGAGTGTTCCCTGGTCTATGCTGAGCAGGACACCACGCTGAGCAATGTGGTGAAAACCACAGGCTTTGGAGTCAGAGAGACTTGGGTTTGAGTCCTGGCTCTGCCACTTACCAGCTGGGAAGCCTTGGCAAGTCACACTTCTCTAACCTTCTGTCTTAATCTGGCAGACACAAGATTGTATGGGTTGTTGGGAGGATATTAACAATACAAAGTGCTAAGTGGGGAGTCGAACATATACTGAGAGTTCCTTATGCACTGGCTGTTGTGGTTATTAAAACTGTCCCCAGCCTGGTTCTCGCTGTCCAGTTCCAACAGATCGATCCTCTTCCAAGGTGGAACTGGCAGGGTCTCCTGGAACTTCTATCCTGGGCACTAAGGACTGAAGTGCCAGAAATTCCTACAGCAACCATCATATGCTTGGGATTCAGAACTAGAAGCTGTGCATCCCTCAAGGCAATGTCATTGGAAGTGGAGAAAAAGTGAGAAAAAAGGAAGGAGGAGGGAAACTCATGCCCAGGTCTCAGGTCAAGTTCCTCTCTTTTTCTTCTTTCATGCTATTCTTAAAAATCCTAATATATATGTGTGTGTATAAGCTTTTCCTTCTACCCACTCCTCCATATATCTAAAAACCACACTTCTTCATCATCCTATCATAGAGTTCAATTCTCTGCTTGCAGATCATGCCCACTTAATAAATGAAGAAAATAATAATATATTGAGAACCTTAGTGCAAAGAACTAAAATAGTCATTAATAACGCCCTGCCATCTTCTTCCCAACATGCTTAGTTTGGAGGTCGTCAGCATTCCTCAGGATGCTGTCCTCAGACTGGGTGGTTTTTACCACAGGCTGCAAAAACTATGGGTGAAGGCTCAAAGACAGGAAGGTTGGAGGTGAGGAAATCTAGGTTACTACCAGTGGAAGGCAGCAAGTTGAAGTTCAGAGGCCTATGGCTTCCAAGGCAAAGCAAACAGCACTCATGACCTGGTCCTTAAGCAGTGATTTCCCCTAGCTTTTCAAAATTTAATTTTATTAGTTTTTAAAAATTTATTGGCCATGCTGTGCAACATGTGAGATCCTGGTGTGCATTTCAGCTGAAGACTTTGTCACATATATCACATTTAAATAATTTCTTTCCTGTATAAATTTTCTGATGTCTACTGAGGTTTGAGCTGTCAGTAAAGGTTTTGCCACACTCAAAACAAACAAACAAAACATGTGAGATCCTATTTCCCAGATCAGGGATTGAACCTGTGCCCCCTTGCACTGGAAGTGCGGAGTTTTAACCACTGGACTGCTAGGGAAGTCCCTCTCCTAATTTTTTTGTATGCTTTTACTGCCACAGGGCAAGGTTGTCCTCCATGAATTCTCTTTGTCCCGAACTGCACTCAGCTCTAGGACTCATTTTGGCCACTCACTTGTTAAGAATGCTTATGACGATAATGGTGGTGCAGGCTGATGAAACAGCAAAGCCAACAAGCATTTCCTGTGCTCTGCTCAATTGAAATTTACCTTATGTTCCATGGAAGGAAGGGTTGGCTCGATAGAAAGCAACAGAAGGCATACTTCTGATCTTGCAGAAACTGAGAACCTAGTTGTAGAGATGGGGCTCTGTTGGAATTAGGAGGCTCACCAAGCAACAAATCAGTAAATGAGAGTTATGTTCAAACTTGGAATATCCCACAGAATCTCAAAGTCTTCTTTTAGTTCATGCCCACCTCCCTTTTCCAAACTGTTGACCAGAATTAGGTCTCAGTCCTTTGCTTTGCATCCCACCCTAGGAAATCTCAACAGAAGCAGTATACTTACAAACATCAACAAATAAAATGAAACAAGGCAGCAGCCACAGGAAATAAAGGAGGGGGCAGTCTACATCCTGAGTGGTCAGGCTTGGCTTGACTGTGTTTTTGCAGTGGCCAGGGCAGATCTTGGGCACAGTGTGCACTCAATTCTTGATGAGAAATAAAAGAAGACAACATTCTAAAGACAGCAGGGCATTTCTTTATGGAAAAACTGCATAGGCAAGATAGCAGCTGCTCCCCATGTGAGTGAGAGAGAGAGGGAAAGAGAAAGAGAGAGAGAAAAAGAGAAAGAGAGAGAGGCAAAGAGAGAGAAAGAGAAAGAGACAGGGAGAAAGAGAAAGAGAGAAAGAGAAAGAGAGAGAAAGGGAAAGAAAAAGAGAGAGAGAAAGAGAAAGAGAGAGAGGGAAAGAGAAAGACAAAGAGGGAAAGAGAAAGAGAAAGAGAGAGAGGGAAAGAGAAAGAGAGAGAGAAAGAGAGAGAGAGGGAAAGAGAAAGAGAGAGGGAAAGAGAAAGAGAGAGAAAGAGAAAGAGAGAGAGAGGGAAAGAGAAAGAGAGAGGGAAAGAGAAAGAGAAAGAGAGAGAGAGGGAAAGAGAAAGAGAGAGAAAGAGAAAGAGAAAGAGAGAGAGAGGGAAAGAGAAAGAGAGAGAAAGAGAAAGAGAAAGAGAGAGAGGGAAAGAGAAAGAGAGAGAAAGAGAAAGAGAGAGAGAGGGAAAGAGAAAGAGAGAGAGAGGGAAAGAGAAAGAGAAAGAGAGAGAGAAAGAGAGAGAGAAAGAGAGAGAGGGAAAGAGAAAGAGAGAGAGAAAGAGAAAGAGAAAGAGAGAGAGACTGACTTTAGCAACAAGGGGACACAGTATGTTTCCTGAACTCTCTTGCCCATCTGCCCATTCCTTCTGCTCCCAAGCATGCCTATCTCTCCTCTCTTCTTCACCTCAATCTTGGCTTCTGCACCCCTCTTCTGTCCTGATGATTTTTGCCCCCAGCCCCTGGTTTCCCCATTCCTGTTGCTGCCCCCTCAACCCCATCCCTTCTCACCCCCGAGCTCACAGCTGCCCTCCCTTCCCCCACCCCCCTGTGCACCCACACTCACCTCTCCTCTTGACTGCTATCCCCCCTCCTCTCGCCCCCTTGCCCCCTTCCCATGGACCCTGACTGGCGACTCCAGTTGCTCCGAGGAGCTCTCTCCCTACCCCTCCCCGCTGCTCACTCCTGGTCCCGCTCCCCTGGCTTCAGCTCCCTCTCCTCTCTCTTGGGGCCCCTGCCTGGCTCTCCCTCTCCCCCAGGCCTGATCAGGCACGTCCTCTTTTTCATTCTCAGGCACACTCTTACTCTCCGGACAGCACATGGAGAGTAAGGGAGACTCCCTCTTCCTCCCTTCCTGCTGGCTGTTTCTCTCTGTTCTAGCTCTCACTTTTGAAGGTTACAGCTGTCTCTCCAGTTACTCTCTGGCTCCCCTGCAGTCTCTCCTGCGGAGCACAGAGGAGGGAAGAATAGACTCTGCCACACAGACTAAGGATCACTTCAAAGGAGAAGTAACATTTGAGCTGCCCAAACCTACACTGTGTCTCTGATTTCAAAGCACGAAGCTGCCCAGTCCCACCTTCCACTCGTCAACCACTTCTAGAATGTTCCTCAATCAACACGTTCCTAGTTTTCCCACAACCTGAACATCTAATGAGCATCTATAGCATGGGAAGTATGCTTGCTAAGTACTGGGAACTGAAAAAAGACACGGACCCTCATTTCAACATTCATAACTTTTGGAGGCTTATCAGAAATGATGACATCTAAAGCCCTGTAGCCCAGAAAAAAATGCACAGATACATAAAAAAAGTGCTTACAATGGTAGAGGTTAATGAATCTTTGAAAGCCTGTCCCTTAACTCCTGACTCCGTTTCTTAGTTGGTGGGGATTGGGCATAAAGTACAAATTTAAAAATAAAAATAATGTTGCCCACCCTGATCTGAGTTCCAAATGAGCGATAAGAGCAAATGTACTGGCATTCCTAAGAGTGGTGTGTGGAGGGATGTGTGCAGCGTGGTGGAGGGAAAGAGGAGGGTTTCGCTAGGCTTCATGCCTTCGGAGTAGTTCCTTCTGCAGGTGAGCAGACCACCAGCCTTTCCCTCTGCCCGTTCTCTGGTGCTCAGTCGTCCCAGGAGAGGAGACATGCTAAAGAAGACAGGGCATGGACTTAGGAGCCCAGTAATCCTAGCTTTGGGAATGCCAGCTCTACTGTGACTAGCTGCATGGCCTTGGGCAACCACTATCTATTTCCAGAATTTTCACCACCCCAAACATAAACTCTGTCATCATTTAGCAATAACTGAATGCCCAGCCCCTGATGAATTCTAATCTACTTTCTATCTCTATGAATGTCTCTTCTAGATATCTCATATAAGTGGAATCATGTAATATTTGACCTTTTGTGTCTAGTTTATTTTATTTAGCACGTCTTCAAAGACTAGAGAATGGAATGGCAACCCATTCCAGTATTCTTGCCTGGAGAATCCCCAGGGACAGAGGAGCCTGGTGGGCTGCAGTCCATGGGGCCACAAAGAGTGGGACATGATCGAGTGACTAACATTTTCACGTTTCACTTTCACTTTTCAAGGTCTATCCGTGTTGCAGCATGTATCAGAATTTCATCCCTTCTTA